TTATTGCTTATTAATTTTATTTAGTTCAGATTAGATGATTAGTCTAGAATGATAGAGATCAAGTAAATCATATAAAAAGATCAGATCAACTCACAAATATTCGCATCAAACATGAAACATTCAGAGCAAATCAAATATGATCTATTACGTTTATTATTACTAATACTATTATTACTATTCCAATTATAATATATATTATTGTTGTTGTTGTTATTTGATTGAGTATATGGACTCGGACCCCCGGTCTCTATACTATTGGGCTCAGACAGCGGCCCACACATGCTCAACAGATAGCATTTACATCATTGTACACTCTGTTTATTCATGTACACCGATTAAAATAGATTAAATATCATTTATTAGCCATTTGTTGGCCTTTTATTGTAACTGGTCTGCCAGCACCAAGCCCGGAAGCCTAACCTACTTTTCTCCTATAAATACCCCCTATGGGAACCATCTAAAGGGTTGGAAAATCATTTATACATATCACTTTATCTCTCTAGCTCTCCCTTCTTTCTAGATTAATAATCTATTGTTGTTGTTGTTGTTATTGTGACAAATTCTATTATAACAAACATTTCAATATGGAGGAAATACTCAAACATTCGAGGCACAATTTGTCATATAGACATATTGTAATAGAAAGGGCATTTTAAGTACTCCATATGATACCTTTTTTGTTCTCTTGCTCAAACTCTCTTCGTATATCAATTACACTAAAGATCCTAGTATCATATGTGTTTTAAGATATTTAAATATACTATTATCTAGGGGTGTTTGGAATTGATTCTGCTTCTACTTCTTTTTTAAAGCAGAAGTAGAATCGGAATTAGTTTTCAGAAGCCTCTGGTCACCCCCCAGCTTCTATAAAAACTGATTCTAGGAGTAAATTAGAGCATCAGAATCACTTCTGAACTTTCACTCAAACGCTTCAGCTTCAGCTTCTGCTCCCTGAAGAAGCAGAAACAGTTTTAAGAATCGGATCCAAACACCCCCTAATAGGGAGACATACTATTGAAGGAGTGTGAGGTAAATACCCCAAACTTGCATGTGTAATGTAAATAACCCCAAAAATTACATAAAAAGTTATTTTAACATCATAGTCATATATTAACTTAAAATTTATAGTCATAACTTATGTTGTAAATTATATGTTCATGGTTCTAACATAACTTTTTATATTAAGTTCTGGATATTGAAATTACATACACATGTTTGGGGTATTTTAAATATTCCCCCTATATAGTACGTATTATATAACTTATTGATACGAGTAGTATACTAAAGTACATTTTGGATAAACAATAGCTAATTTTTCTTTAATGCAAGAGCTAATACGTGATGTGTTTATAAGGCCGGGGACATCATATGCTGATTAGGGTTTCATATGTTATGCTACATACGTAGTATAATATATACTTCATATGTCCCATTCAAAGGTTCACACTTGAATATTTGAGCATCCCATTTAAAGGTATTTATTTCAAATTTAGAAAATAATTAACACTCTTAAATAAAAAATTTAATCATCAAATATTTAAAAACAATACATCTATAACATCTCAATTATTATCAAAATTATAACTCAAAATATATTCGAATTAGCATATTTAATTACCGTCTAAATGATCGTGTCATTTTGCACCAATTTTCCATCATCTTTTAAAATACTTATAAATCACGTGTACATACTTCATAGCATGTACGTGTGCTAAGAAGCTAAGAAAGGTTTCCTTTATATTTGTACACATTCAATTTTATAAGTTGAATAGGTTTTCCTTTCATCTTCTTTTATTAAATGCATAAAAATATTGTGAACATATTTTTATGTCATGTACTACGTACATAGTATGCAACTCACTCAAAGCATGGAGCTATATTGAAAGATGAAGTAGAATTTAGCATGGAGCTGGCACTTGGCGAATTTCCCATGAAAGATGTTGCCACATGTCAAAACTTTCTTCAAAGCATTCCTCTAAGGGTTTGCTTTATTATATTATATAGATATAGATATGACTGGGATTGATGATTTAAAAAAATATGACATTGCCACAAATGCAACGAAGGAAAACAATGATAATGAGGCAATAACAATATATGAATGTCGAAGGAAACATGCTTGACCAAAATGGAATTAAATTATTCAAGCAAAATTAAAATCACTTATTAAACGTGATGTTTTTGAACAAATAGTACTCACGTCAAAAGGCGTGAAACCGGTGGATTTTAAATCTGATTTGTGTGCAAATGCAATCAGAAGACTGATATTGTAAAATATATAGCCCGAGTTTTTGTTCAAGGGTTTTTCAGATGTAATCAATTCATTATAAAGATATATAGTTGATGTAACTACGTTAAAATTTCTAACTGGCATGACCGTTTTTGAAAGGATACAAATGCGATTAATTGATTAGTGGTAATATATTATGAAAGTTCCCGGTGGATTAAAAATGTCAGAAGCAAATAGCTTGAAATCTCAAGAAATGTTTTCCATAAGATTACAAAAATTAGTGTATGGACTAAAATAGTCTAGACGAACGTGATACAATCATCTCAGTGAATATATTCTCAAATAAGGATACAAAAAACGATCTAATTTGAGTTTCTCATAACTACAACATATGTTGACGATTTAAACATTATTGAAACTTCTAATGAAATATAAGCTACTGTAAAATATTTCATAAAAGAATTTGTGATGAATGATCTTAAAAGAAATATTTAAAAAATAAAAGATCTTAAAAGAACCAATTTTGTCTACAGCTTGAATTAGAGAATTTGAAGAATGAAAAGTTCATCCATCAATCAAATTACATCGAGAAAATTTTGAAAAGAATCTACATGAACATATCTCGTCTTGTGACTTGACCAATAGTGATTCGATCACTCAACATGCATGATGATTCATTTTGTTCCTCGTGAAGATAATGAAAAAATACTTATCCTAAAGTAAGATATCTTTTTTTTGAACGAAACTGGCTTAATATATCATACCAAAACAGACCAAACAGACCAAACTAATCCAGGTAACCGTGTGACGAATAGTCCCCTGTCTACCGTCCACCCAAAGACCAGACTCTGAATTAATCACCTCCGTAGAAGCCATATAATTCGCTGATCCCGCTTTGTGCATACCTGAGCCTATGACTTGTAGACACGACACATCAGTACCTGTTTTAGCTATCAAAGTATTCTTGCTGGAAAACCCCAGCAGCATCAAAACAAAAACAACATCCAGAACGTGGAAAATAAATAAAACGCAATAACTGGAATAAAAAAGTTCTTTAGCTAAAAAAGTTGTAACCAGCATCAGGTCCTCTGGCGGGGCTGGAGACCAGCGCCCGCCCCAACCCCGTTTTTGGAGAGTCCAACGCCATTGCATCCAATCCAGCAGCCTCCCTTGCCTGGGCCTCCCAAGTGCGCCTCCTCTTCAGCACTCCGATCATTCCTTCCTCTTCGGGCTCGCCTGAGACCACCCCCTCTCCCGCACCCGCAAAAGTGTTCTCCCCCTTCTCCTCCGAGACCCACTCCTGCCCTGGTTTCACAAACTGAGCCAAACGCATATCATCGCCAGAGACACTTCCTTCCGTTATTAACCACTTGCTTCCCATCTCAGATTTTGAACCCCTACCACTTGCTCTAAGCCACGACCCAAATGGTTTAATCATAGCTTGTCCCTCCTTTTCGTACAGCAAAGGGCAAAATTTCTCAGCATGGCCAATCATGCCACAGCAGAAACAGAAGCTTGGCATTTTTTCGTATTTAAAATCTACCCAGAGCCCTTCACCCTTACTCTTCCTTAAAGTAATTCCAACCTTTAATGCTCTATTAGTGTTCATACGAACCCGCACACGCATATAAGCCTCTTTTTTACTACTAAAATTTTGTTCATCCCATGTGATGAACTCCCCCAGATAGTTCCCTATTCTCCTTGCCGTACCCAAATTTTCAAAGTCATACGACACATTATGGACCTGTACCCATATCTCAAATTCATCTAGCACCATTTTAGACGGGATGTCACCCGGTTTAACAGCTTTTAACACAAGCAAATTTTGTTCAAACAGCCAGGGTCCATTTTCCAGGACTCGATTCATATCAACAGAATGAAAAACTTAAACAGATACCTTTGTTCACCCAGTTCTTGTATGACAATACCTCTTCCCGGGTGCCATAGCTCAGCCATAAATCCTCAGAAGAACGGAAATCGGATAACCTTGTCCGTGAGAACCTTCACCACGACCGTGAATTCCTTTGCCTTCGCTGCCCCTGCTGTCCCGTCCCCATCTTCATCATCTCCAATCAGCAATTCGTCCTCCACACCCCCAATTCCCAAGCCTCCATACTTAGCCACAATCTCCCCAACCTGTCCTTTCTCCTGTTCTCGAAGCCCACTGCTCCCTTCATCACCGGCGGCTTCCATCCCAGCCCCTGGTTCGCCATCAGCCCTTCGTCGTGGTTGTTGAAGCCCATCTCGACGCCGCTCGCTAAATAGCAAACTGCCGAACCCACCCGCGCGTGGAAGCTCCTGGTCACAGCTCGTCCTGCACCCCTCGCCTTCAGTATTCTCCATCGCTCCACAAGACCGCTACTCCGACCTTCGCCCTCGACTCGCGCCGCACGCAGACGACAAAGAAAACACCCTCAGCTCTCGGCTAGGGTAAAATTTTTGGTGACGATTCAATTCATGTGGGCAATTGTTTCCTGAAGTAAGATATCTAAATCTCATGTTATCTGTCTTACTTTTCTAAAATAAATAACATTTATATCCTCTAGTATATACTCCCCCCGTCCCAAAATCGTTGGCCAATATTGACTTTGCACGTGGATTAATAAAGTAAAAACTGTGTGATTAAAATTTGTGCAGAGGAGAGAGAACTAACATTAGACACATATTCCATATTTTAAATGGAAATGATAAACCTTTTCGGAACGGTCAAAATAGGAAATTTGGCCAACCATTTTGGGACGGATGAGTATTTTGGAATGAAATATGAGGTCTAGAGTATTCCTATTACGTGTACTGGATTACTGGACAGTGGACACCTTTGTAGCCTTGTACTCCGTAAAACATTTATCAGTTATCTACGGCCGCCGAGCCGTTACATACAAGCGGCATTTTTCACACCGAAACCCTAATCGGAAGATCATTCAAATCACCGACGAAATGGGAGTCGAGAAGGAACTTGTGAGGGCAGGTACCGGTCCCAAGCCAGTTCGTGGTCAGACCGTCACCGTCCACTGCACCGGCTACGGTTAATATTTCGGCTCTTAACCATTACCAGCATCTTTGGCATATCTAATCTAGACTAGATGCTTTTCCTGTACAAAATAAATCTCCACATTCTTATTAGTAGCTTATTTTTTCCATTTTGCAGGCAAAAAGGGAGATCTTTCTCAGAAATTCTGGAGGTAAGTCTAAGTGAACAGAAATTTGAATTTCAGAGCCTCGGCAGAGTTTTCCCTTTAAAAATGCAAGGCTTATAAAAAATGTGAGATCTTTGCATGTTTCGTGGCATTGTTTCGCTATTAATACTTCGGACTATGATTTGCAACAGCACAAAAGATCCTGGGCAAAAGCCTTTTACTTTTCAAATTGGTCAGGGACAAGTTATCAAAGGTACGTTTAAGCATGTTGTTGAATTTAATCTTTTTGCTTGAAGTATGAAAGTTTTGATCATGTACCTTAAATGTGAAACTATTAAGACCAATTCTTAATTTTCTTTCTTTAATTAATGGTTTATTTTAGTTAAAAAACTCAAGTAAATATGGCATGTCCAATTATTATGATGTGAGATGAAATGGTCTTAATACTTCAGTATATGTTTTTACTTGTTCAATACTTTAATGTTTTGTATACCTTTCTGTGCTTTTTCTCTTTTTATACATTTATGCATTTTAGGAAACAGGGATTAGTATTGGTAAAGTATTTTCATCTTTTAACAGGGCATCCTCCGAAGCCAACCTTTATCCATTGCTGAAGTCCATATTTAGTTAGTTAGTTTGTCCCAAAATATTCTTTCTTCTTCCTTTTGATCCGTCCCTAAGAGTTCTCATATTTTCATAAGGAAAGAATTATGTCGAATGCATTGATTCTATCTTTCCAAATAAATCTCAACCACACCATTTTACTTCCTAAACACTGTAAAAAGTAAGGGAAAGAACATCGCAGAATGAAGGGAGTATTACTTTTCGACACATTCATTTCACAGGTCATTGAGCCTAGAGGTGGCAATAGGGCAATTGAGGTAAGGAAGTTTTTATAATTATTTTTACAAAAACAATTAGAAGCGGCATGAGTCATAATGTAGCTAACTAATAAACTCATTAATAACGTTATTTCTATAAGCTGAAAATCTTAGTTTATTTTAAAATTAGTGATTAGAATTTATTTATGAGTCTATTCTTTTATATGCTTTAAAAAGACACTTAGCTGTGTAGATATACCTTTTGAATTAAATGTTTGAACATGCCGTTTGGTGTATCAATTAAATATTTTCAAAGGGTTTAGGGTTACGATGTTATCCAATCAATACTTTTTTTTTGGAAAAATCCAATCAATACTTTTAAAAAGTATTTGAAACTGTGGCATTCAATGAAATCATTTAAAGATATTTTCATGCTGAAACTTTTATCTTGTTGTTTCTGTAGTGTAAAAATACAAATCAAATTCATCTTGAACCCCATTCCGTCCCTTAGTTTACTGCGTCATCTCCAGAAATGCTATGGTTCCAGTAGGTTCATTTGCACTGTATAATATTGGACCATTTTTGTAAAGTTTCAGCAAACAAAAGTTGTATAGGGAAAAGCAATTCTATCACTTTTGACTCTACAGACCTCTCTGCGTAGTTAGTTTCTTATCAGCAAAATAGTTTTCGAACTTGTAATCAATAGAATAGGTCTGCATCATTACCAAAGCTCTTTTCTTTTCTTTTTTATGCAACAATTTACTTCAAAACACAAAAAAAATGTTGAAGTGTTTGCCCCCACTGTAATTTTCATCATTTTACTTTAAAACAACAAAAATTGCTGAAATAAACTTGTTTAGGACGTGTTTATTCCATTTGTACACCCTCAATGTTATACAATTTGGATTGGACTGAGAGGCTTGGTGAACTATTTGTCCCAAAGCAGTTTAACCTCTTAAGAAAGATCCACATGACTTAAAAAAAATACTGTATTAATATCGTACAGTGTAATGAAGAACTTGTTATTTGTAAATTGATTTTTCTTACTTATAACACAACAAAATTGATTTTTTTAAATTAAATTTATTCATTAATAATTCACTTTTAATCATTCTAATCTATAATTAACTGATTATTTTAAAGGGAAATTATCATTGACCTCCCTTGAGGTTTCATGTATTATCATTTAGACCCCTGCACTATTGAAAATATGCACTTACCCCCTCTATATCCTTTAATGAAAGTTTATTAACTCCTAATTACGTTTATCAAAAGTATGAATTTAGTTTTATAAATTTACTCACTAGTAGATTTAATTTGATTATTAATAAATTTTTTTGTATTAAGAATCTTTCCACCATAACATACTTTTGTTACGGGAACGCATACTTTATGATGAAATAGCCCTTATTATTGACAAATTTATTAGGTACATAACTACAATTACATGTGAGTAAAATTATAGGACTAGTAGCAGACACAATCGAAAGGTATAAGCTTAAAACAATAAATCGCTATTACTTTTAAAAGTTTGAAAATATATCCGAGATTGAAGAAATTTTGGTAACACTTTTGTAACGAGGGAAAGATGCCCAATACTTACTATTGGGTGTGGAACTCATCCTAAATTAGAATATCTTTACTAGTATTTTACATGTAAACATGTTCATATTTTATCAAATATTTAAATCTACAAGTTATTATTATACCTATAGTGATCTCATTTTCAGTGATAACAAAGAGTGTTTAAATTGGGAATTTTCTTGCATTCAATTTTTAATGGTAAAATCGAGTAGTAAACTTTACTTTTGAGTCGGTTTGGTTTATTTAGGTTGATTTGTTTCAGTTTTTGTCAAATTTAGCATATTTTGATCATTTTTAATTGAGTAAATTTACTCACTTTACAAATTCAAATGCATAAAACGAACTACCTAGAGTGAGGTCAGTTTTGGTAATTTTTTTTTTATTTTGGTTCGACTTCTGATAGAAAGGTCTTTAATATGGACAAATTTATTAATTACCTGACCAGATTTGTGATTGAATATAATTACAATATTAAAAGCAGATTCAAAGAAAAATTATGAAATTATATTCATAATTTTCTCTAAATGTAGATTAATAGTTATTTAACCATCATTAAAGGATATAGAGGGGGGTAAGAGTATATTTTTGATAGTATAGGGGTGTGATTGATAATGCATCAAACCTCAAGGGGGTCAATGATAATTTCCCTATTTTAAATTTATAAAGATTAGTTCAACTCTTGAAATACTTATAATAATGCCTATAAATTCACAAACTGAACCTTCAATTTTCAAATTGATATATTTAAATAATCGTTATGCCTGCGATCTAGAATAATGTCATTAAATTATTTTTAAAACTTCGCTCCTTTCTTTTTGATAACTTGAAATTATAATCTTAGATGTTATAATTAGCGTAGGGTGGTAGGTACAATTTTGAAAAGTGCTTCAATCACAGGGTGACTTACTCATCATCATTGAACTCAAGAGCTAGCGTTGTACTAGACGTTGAGTTGCGCTTTCTTTCACTTGTGATTATTTTCCTAGGGCTTTAACCTCATCCCTTTTGCAGTTTTGTACACCATGTCCCTTGGCATCGCCTTTGTAAAAGGATCCGCCAAATTCACATGTGATCGTACAAAATCAATCACAACAACTCCAGAACTAATAAGTTCCCGCACATAGCTATGTCTCACTCCTACGTGCCTTGACTTACCATTGTACACATGGTTATAAGCTTTTGACAGAGTTGATGCACTATCACAACGGACAGATATCGGAGCCATAGGTTTAGGCCATATCGGAATTTCCGACACCAAGTCCTTTAGCCATTCCGCTTCTTTACAAGCCGATGCTAAAGCTATAAACTCCGAAGTCATGGTAGAGTCAGTGATACAAGTTTGTTTCTTATATGCCCATGATATAGCACCTCCTCCAAGAAGGAATAACCACCCACTTGTGGATGAATAATCCTCTTGATTAGTTATCCAACTTGCATCTGTGTAACCTTCTAATATAGAGGGTTCACTCTCATAACATAAGCCGTAACTTATTGTTTTCTTTAGATATTTCAGCACTCGCTTCAAGGCTTGCCAATGAAATATACTAGGGTTACTAGTATATCTACTTAGTTTTCCTACCGCAAATGCAATATCTGGCCGGGTGCTAGTCATAGCATACATCAAACACCCAATCACCCTAGCATATTCAAGTTGTGATACATGGTTTCCACTATTTGGAACTAATTTCCAACTAGGATCCATGGGAGTGGAAACTAGTGAACAATCCAAACTCCCAAATCTTTTCAACACTTTCTCTATATAGTGAGATTGTGTTAAGGTGATAGTATCACCTTGCTTGATTATCCTAATTCCAAGGATAACTTCCGCTTCACCCATATCTTTTATGGAGAAGCTCGAACAGAGGAAAGCCTTTGTCTCATTTACTTGCCTCAAATCAGTGCCAAATATGAGCATGTCATCCACATATAGACAAATAATGACACCGTTACCATGCTCATTAAATTTGCTATAAACGCATTTGTCTGATTGGTTTATTTTAAAACCATTTTCCAACACCACCTCATCAAACCTTTGATGTCATTGTTTAGGTACTTGTTTCAGACCATACAAGGACTTGACAAGTTTACAAACATTCTTTTCTTGCCCTTTAACCACAAACCCTTCTGGTTGTTTCATATACACCTCCTCCTCCAATTCACCATTCAAGAATGCTGTTTTGACATCCATTTGGTGAATGACAAGATTGTGAATAACCGATAAAGCAATTAACAATCTTATGGTAGTTATTCTAACTACCGGTGCATACGTGTCAAAGTAATCAATACCATGTTTTTGTTTAAAGCCTTGTGCAACCAATCTAGCTTTAAACTTGTCAATGGTACCGTCTACTTTCATTTTCTTCTTGAAAATCCATTTACAACCGATTGGTGTGCAACCAGGTGGTAAATCACTTAGAACCCAGGTATTATTGCCCATGATTGAATCCATTTCATCATTTACGGCCTCTTTTTAGAAGGAAGCATCTTGAGATTTCATTGCCTCTTCAAAAGAGTTAGGATCCTCCTCAACACTATAACAATATAGTGTTTGAGTTTCAAGGGTCTCTCTTGATCCCTCAAACAAATATAATTGGAAATCGGGACCAAATGACTTTTCTTTTGTAGCCCTCTTACTCCGTCTTATTTCAGGCTCATTTTCATGATCCTTTTCCAGTTCGAGTAAATTTGAATTACTTGGACCGGGATCAACATCCTTTGGCCTAGGAATAGAAGTGAACCGTTTCTCATCGAAAAGAGCGTCTCTCTTGACTTAATAACAGTGTGAACCGCAATTGAGTCATTCGGTTCAATAACATAGAATCGATAAGATTTACTATGTTCAGCATAT